TCTCCTTTCCGTTGTACCTACCCCAAGCACCTAGCTATATTACACACCGGCTGCTTTCATGATGATCTGTCCCCCTCTTCCTGGTCACCCCCTACCTCCCCTTCTAGGTTGGCCCCAGGCATTTGACGCGGCGACACTGGGCCCAGCTGCATTAGGCCCATCTGGGGGTGCCGGGTGAGTAGCTACGGCTCCCATCTTGCCCAGCATCCTCTCTCTTTCTGTTCACCCATACGCGTGCATCGATGCAGATCTGCCGAGAGGCCAATTCTGCTGATGTTGTTCTCCAGCGCCCTTTCTTGATATGCCCGCAGTGGCGGTGCAGTTCCCTGTCTACATCGCTCATTCCTCAAGGTCCACAAGTCCCACAGCACCCCCCCCCCCCCGGGGACAATATCTGAAGCCATCAGCTCCTCCGGCTGTGATATAAATGTGGGGAAGGTCGGTATCTGGGTTGAGATTCAGTCTCTGTTCAGATGGTTGGTATCCACCTTCATCAAAGCACCAAGGACGATAACTGCAAATCATCCACCATCTGAACAGGTCCTTTCTGAGGAGGGTTTTTTTGACCGACATCCCAGAGGAGGGTTTTTTTTTACCAACATCCGGGAAGACTGCCCCTCTCTGTGTTTAACATACGGTTGTTCTTTAATTTTGGTTTGCAAAATCATGGTTTATGATTTGGTGACATGTATACTTAGGGCCTTACCACACCACTGTCGAAATGAAAAAAAGTAGGGCTGCATATTCCTGCAGGAAGTGGGCAGATGCATCCGTTACCACGAATGGTAATCGGTGCATCTTGCCACTTTCTGGGAAAGGTGGACTCGTACTTCTTTTTTTCGTTTTGACATGGGGTTACGTTTGTTTGGCTCTGCTGGAAATGACAGTACAGTTCAGGAAAAAAAAAAAAAAAAAAAAAAAAAAAAGACAGATCAGGAATATCTGTTGGATCTTCGTGCTCTGTACGCCCGCCTGGCATTTCTGGGCGACATCCATTCTTTTTTTTTTTTTTTTTTTGACAGGTGAAGAATCGTGAAGAGAAAAAGAAGCAAAAGGAAAAAGAGGAATGATGAAAATTGCTGCAGTGCATGAGAGAACAGCATTTCGTGTTTCCCTGAACCCATGCCCCTTTTTGGCCCTGCTGTCACAAGGCATGTTTTTTTTTTTTTTTGTTGGAAAAAGAAAGGGCGACGGTCTTGAGATCTCATCATCGAACCGACCGGCCCTAAGTGATTCAGAATTGTAGAATTTCACTCATCTGCTTCTGGTGGAGTTTGATCTCGGGTCTGTATTTCAACAGATCGGTCGTGCACTAACTGACGATGTCGGCGGTCTGCCGCTGGGGGTGCTGTGTGAAGTGCATTGAACCTGACCCTTACCATTTAGAGGAAGGAGAAGTCGTAATGCAAGGAAAATGAGCAAGAGCGAAATACAGAAAACCAAATCGCATCATCACGTTGTTAGACCAGATAGTCGTGAACCAAGCAGAAAGCAGTATGCACCGAGTTACAAGCCAAATAAGAGCAAGCAATGAACTCAAATGTCAATGTCAGCCCTCTCTCACGACCATCAACGAAGCATTCAATGTCGCTCTGCTCATATAGCGCTAAGCGCCCAGAACCACGATCGACAGGCTCCTAAACTAGCCTACCATCTACAATTATGCAACCGGCAATGCGTGAGCTGAAGACCAATGTACATGAAGAAGCCGCCCACGCAGACCATCGCATACACATCAGGTATGCATCTCTCTCCTCTCCACGCACTCCCCGACTCCCACTCGCAATCCCCTTGTCCATAGGACCAAGGTATCGCCCTCCCTGGCGTCCGCGAGGCCAGCCTGGCTATGGCTGCGTCGCAGCCAGGTTGGCCTCGCCCTGCTGCCTGGTGCAGCCCTCACCTCCGGCGCCCGTTCGTGTGCCCAGCCGAGCTCCTAGCGGCAAGAAAGAGCGCCCAATCAAGCAGCGCTGCTGCATGGTTCCCCGACCAGAATACCTCAGGCAGAGGCAGGCAAAATCTTTTGTAGAATGTGCGGCCTGGCCAGGCTGCTTGCCGGGGCCAGTTGCAGCGCCCAGGCTTTTCCCAGATGTGCCTGGGCCCCTGTGCCCGGGCAGTTGAGCTGCATGCTTGCGTGACCCGTGTCCTGTGCTCTCATTGGCCGCTTGGCCTCTGCTGATGTCGCACCCGCGTTGTCATTGGCTGCTGGGACCCAGGCAACATCGCACCCATTTTCCAGCGTCGACCTGGGCCTGACTCTGGATGCGAGGGTCTCTCTGCCGCACACAGTCATACAGGTGCTGAAGGGCGCAGTACCCGTTTCAGTCTCGCAGGCTCAAGAAACCCCCTGCCCGCGACCTAGTAGGCCTGCGGGTTGCTGCTGGGGCCCGACCTAGGGCCTTGCTAGGGTGTACTTCCTCACAGTAGCAAGGTTTCCGTAGGTGAACCTGCGGGGGAAAAAGGGAAAAAAAAAGGGGTAAAAATTTTAAAAAGGGGAAAAAAAAAAGTTGCCTGCCGCTGTGACTGCTGCATGATTTCGATCTGAGTAGCTTCTCAGACACACATTGAATGGCACACATTGTGGAGGTTAGTACCATCTTCACCTGAATAGAACGCCTGGTCATTATCGCGGTATCTGGGCTGAAAATGGCCCCAAATACAGTTACAATGACCAGGCATTTATTCGGGTGAAGACAGTACTACCTGCTGCTGCTCCTGCTAATCCTCTGGAATCGGATGCCTGCGTTGCGCTGATTAAGGGACAACAAGGTTGTGGTGTGGTGCTTACTCCCTGCTTGTGCCAATCCTGTGGATTGAACTGGACTCTGCCACACAAAGGTTGCTGATGAAGGACGGGGATCTGGACAGGCAGCATGTAACAAGCAAGTGGTGCTGTGCACACGGTCGTGATTGATCAGCCGAACCTCCATGCCAATTCTCTTACACGCTGCTTAGTGCCATCAGTTGAGATGGATTCGCTTGCGCTGGAGTCGTTAGGATCTTCGGTTGCAAAATTCACATCTAGTATGAGGGATTATGTAGAGAAGCTGATGAAGGACAGTGCAGACCTTTTGGTTTCGACTGAGCGTCTGCGGTCACCAGAAACAAGAGCGGAGATCTGGGAATCTGAGAGTGACCGAGCAGCTGAGATGGTGGCTTCGCTGAAAGCAGAAGTGTCGGCAATCAACACAGTGCTCGAAGAGACTCGTTGGAGGATGTGGAATTCTATGAGCACGGAGGAACTGAAGGGGCATATGGAGAAGTGGTTGCAAGAGAATGATAGGCGTTTGGATGAACTCGAAGGCTACTTGCAGCGATTTGGATACCAGCGAGCAGAGACGGTTGTAGACGAAGTGGGAAGGGTCAGGAGCCAGCTAAGTATAGTGGAAGAGAGGAGAAATGTTGGACCTGTGGAGGAAGGAGGAGATAAGGGCAGTCAGTTGAGTGTGGCAACCGAAGAAGGGCAAACGAGAAATGGAGAAATGGAGAAGGGTACAGAGGCTGCTGCCGAAAGCGCCAAAAGCAGCAGATCGCTATCTGAAAACCAGACGGTACATGCTGGAAACTTAGGGACAGGAGAAAAGAGAATAGTCGCACCTGGACGCGCCGAGTCTGGTATCACTCAAAATGATGATGTTGTAGCAGTTCGAAGTGCGACCTGCTCTCTGAGAATTGCCCCAAGCAAGCAACTGCCACCATCGTCAGCACACCATGATTCCAGAATGCATTCGAATACAGGGAACATGGATGGGTGCGACAGTCGTCATCTTCGAGAGCTAACGACGCCTGCTCCCAAGGCATCTGACCCTTTCAGCGTTGCGTCTACTGAAAGAGGCAGGGGGGGTGGTGCTGCTGGCCTCCACAGAAGTCATGAAGAATGGATGAGAGGGAAGGTGAAGTCTGTGCAGTTGGAACCAGCAACTCGTCTCTACAGTGGGATCTCCCAGCAACCTTTGTTGCCAATGTCACCGCCACAAAGTTCACCTGATATCACGCTCGATTGCTTATCGGCCGATTTTCTTGCAGCAATACGAGCCGCGTCGTCGCGGCGTCAAGTGGAATCAACAGGTCCCTGTGACCCTGAGGATCCCACAGGAAAGCGTCTGAATTCTTGTGCCGCTGAACTGGCGTCTACAGACAAACAAGATGCCGTGTCAGCGGCGGAGGGCTTACCTGCAAGTTCTCTTGTGGCTGTAATAACATCAAGTCCAACTGATGGAGGGAGGCAGGCAGCTCCTGCAGATAGCACAGCAAAGCACCCTGAACCTGAGAGTAATACCAAAGGAAATCTGCGAAGCTCAATGATTCCACTGATTGGAGATGTGAGCGAGGAGGAGTTTCTCGAGGTTCCACAATATTTACGCTTTCGGTTTGACAACTTTCAGGACTTGAACAAAGCAATTGGGAAAATCAACGGCTGTTTGACCAACAAATGGTTTGGCATGGGAGAAGATGATGTCCATCAGATCGACTGCAATGTGAGGGATTGCATCACACAGAAGGAAATAGCATCGCTGGGCCTTGGGGCAAAGGAGAAGCCGGTAATGGTGCTCCTGATGAAACTGAACCGTCTTGTGGTTGAGCATCGCAGTGGAGTTGTGGTGTACAGTGTCTGCTGCTCAGAAAACCAGAACACAGTTTAGGGCATCCTCGCACCATCACGTTCCTAATTTTATCCGATTCCAGTTACTGCCACATTCAACATCTCTCTCTCTCTCTCTCTCTCTCTCTCTCTCTCTCTCTCTCTCTCTCTC